AGTATACTTAGTGGGAAGAGAACCATGGTAGAACCGGGAAACCCTGTCAGTCTACCATGTGACCCGGGTAACTCTGCCAGTCACAAATAATCAAATTGGCCATAATCAAAATATCTCTTCCTAGTGTGCACACCTCTTTCCAAAGTTGCTACGAGTATCCTGGGAAACTCTGCCAGACACCACTTTGGAAAGAACGGATAATATCTGTTCACATCGTATAAATTTATCGGAGGCATAAAGCCCAAAGGTTGTGTTCATCACTTTATGAGGTACCATCCCAAAGCTATCCTCCCACTATTAATTTATTACAATCACACACAATCAGGAAAAGTTCAATCTTGTCTCAATTACCATATTTTGAATATTTTTTTTTTTGGTAAGCTGGGTAAAACACACCACAGCACAAATTAAATAACTGAAATACGATGAGTTCTACAAATAGAAGCTAAATATGCATCAAACAGCAGACCAATTCCAAGGGGCGGGGAATTAAAAACACAAAAATCATCAGAATTAACATTCATAAAAGAAAAATTTGCCAGCCAATCCGCACAACAGTTTCCTTCTCTGAAAGTATGAACCAATTGAACTCTCCAATACTTTTGAATCCATGTCTGTAATCGAGAAATCAGATGATTCTCGCAGACTGCATCACCATCACTAGTGAGCAGAGCAATAGCTGATTTAGAGTCATTTTCTACAATAATATTTCTCCATCCATCTTCCCAAGCTAGTTGCAAACCCTTTAAAATACCCCAGAATTCTGCAGTAAGAGCATGACAACTACCAATTCTATAAGCAAATCCTTTTAACCATTGACCAGCATCATTTCTAATAACACCACCACAAGCTGCTAATCTTTGATTACCCTTAACCGCTCCATCAATATTAATCTTTACCCAATTGCTTCCAGGAGCCTTCCAACAAATCAAAGTATCCGAATGGGACAGGTTATTTTGAGCTAAATTAACCTTATGAAAAGCATCTTGTATATCTCTCACCTTGGCTATCACTGACTGAATCTTGTATTGATAATCATGAACCTGATTTGGATTGTCATGACTCCTTTCATTCCTCCACTTCCATGCAAGCCAGCAAGTCGTAGTAAACCATGTACACCAAGGGATATTATCCTTGAAAGAACTAATATGTGACATGTTTAATTCTATCTAATCCCATAAATTGGCAGAAAAGAAAGAAACCTGCATATCTATTGGTACCAAATTAGGGCACAATTTCTTCATATCATTACAATCTCTCAATAAGTGAATATAAGTTTCATTATGCTCCCAACAAATTGGGCAAGAAGCTGAACCCATATTATACTAGCTAAGGAAATTTTTTGTAGGAATTTTATTGTGAAGCACTTTCCAAATAAACAGCCTAATAACCTGAGGTCCCTTCCAATTCCAAATTTTCTTCCAAATAGGGGCCAAATCCTGCTGCTCAACTGCACCAGATAAAGTGGTATAAATACCCTTAACAGAAACTTTGGTATCACTTTTTAAATTCCAAAGCAAGTGGTCCATCCCATCATGAGGATTAGGAGGGAGCATACCACAGATGTTAAGCAGAACATCATTTGGGAGCCACCTTGAAAGCTTGTTTAGATCCCAAATTCCATTACTGTCTATATAATCAGCCACCTTCATATCCACCTCATCCTAAGGAATCGGACTTAAGGCTTTATCCATCAGCCTACCTGCATTTTTAACCCAATTATCCTTCCAAAAAAGAATATTATTACCATCACCAATTTCCCAAATCAAATGCTTCTCTAATTTATTCCACACCAAACAAATGAATTTCCACAGCCTTGAATCACTAACCCTGCTTTTAAATATATTTGTTCCCATTCTCTGACCTCCATATTTAGCATACAAAACCTGAATCCAGAGTTCATCATATTGGCTAAAAATAGCCCAGGCAATTTTTCCAACAAAGGCTTCATTCATTAAATTAAGCTTTTTTAATCCCAGCCCACCACTCTCTTTTGGCTTTGTAAGGGTTTCCCAACAAACAAAATGCATCCTCTTTTTATCCTCTGTATCCCCCCAAATAAATCTTCTCTGAAGTTTTTCAAGCTCATGACATACTGCAACAGGAATCTTATCACACTGCATTTGGAAAAATGGCATTGAAGCCAGTGTAGACTGAGTGAGAGTAATTCTCCCAGCTTGAGAGAGACACTTAGCCTGCCAGCTGTTCATCTTGGATTGAGCTTTTTCCACAATGCTAGCATAAACCTCCTTAGTTACCCTCCCATGCTTCATCCACACACCAAGATGCTTACCTACATTTCGAACCTTTTTAAACCCACACACTCCTTAGTTACCCTCTGCTGCAACATCCGGAGTGTTTTTGGAGAAGAAAATACTTGTTTTCTCAATGCTAATTTTCTGACCTGGGATCTCACCAAATAAATCTAGACATTTCAAAACAGTTTGTATTTGATGCGGGCTAGCTTCAGCAAACAACATTAGATCATCCGCAAACATCAAATGAGAAATCTCTGGCCCTCCATTTCCAACTTTAATCGGCTTCCACATACCCCCATCAACTGCTGTTTTAATTATATGGCTAAGCTTTTCCATGCCCATGACAAAGAGATAAGGAGACCCATTATCTCCTTGTCTAATTCCCCTAGTGGGATGGAAGTCATCAGTTATTTCACCATTCCATAAAACACTAAAATTAGCAGTTGTAATAGCAGCCATAATGATATGAATCAGCTTATCCGGAAGCTGAACCTCCTTCATAACTTTATTCATAAAATCCCAACTTACTCTATCATATGCTTTTTCCAAATCCACCTTTATAGCCATGAAAGGTTTTTTACCTCTCATTTTGTGCATAGAATGAATTAATTCTTGCACTATAACTATATTATCATGGATATTCCTAAGCCAAAACTGGCTTAGAGTGGAGAAATTATTTTGGCTATTATGCACTTCAGCCTATGCACAACAATCTTGGTTAGCAGCTTATAAATTACTGGACAAAGATATATGGGTCTAAATTGAGCCATATGAGCAGGATTCTGAACCTTTGGGATAAGAACAATAAGAGTAGCATTAATTGTAGCCACGAGATCAGGATTCTCCCAAAGCTTAACAATATGCTCAGATAATTGATCCTTCATTCTATCCCAATTAGTTTGAAAAAAACCAGTCGAAAATCCATCTATACCGGGTGCTTTGAGAGGAGCCATATCAAAAAGGACCTTCTTAATTTCATTCTGAGTAGGAAGCCTGGCTAACATTTGAATATCCTCTGATAGTAGAGATGACCACATAATCTGAGAAATTAACCACCTTCTATCAGTTTTCTCTTCTTTGAACAAACTAAGGAAAAAATTACAAGCTACCCTTTTAAGATCCTCGGGCTCCTCAATCCACTGATTACTATCATTCTTCAATCTTGCAATTTTATTCCCATTTCTTCTGATAATTGTATTCAGGTGGTAGAATCTAGTATTCCTATTCCCGTCCACAATCCATTGATGTCTAGATTTTTGAAACCACAACAATTCCTCCTCTTCCAAGACAGTGTTCAAATGCTGTTGTAAATTCTCTTCCTGTCACTTTAAACTAGAAGTATCATTATACAACCTTTGATTCTGAATCCTTTCAATCCCCTTTAAAATGTTATCTTTTCTTCTATTAATATCCCCAAACACTGTTCTATTCCACTTTCTCAAATCAAGCACTAGCCTATGCAGCATATAAGGCACATCAAACTCATTTAACCAATGATCATTAAGAAATTTTTGGAACTCAGGGTGTTGTTGCCAAGCAGCAATAAACCTAAAAGGTCTTTTCCCTTTCTGCTTACTGTTACCAAATAATTTAAGCAGCAAAGGATTGTGATCCGATTGAGTTCTGGGGAGATGAGCTATTGTAGCATCCTCAAAATCAATTCTCCAAGAGCTATTGGTCACAATTCTGTCCAACCTTTTATAGATTCTATCAAGATGCCCCCATTTTGGACCTTGCCAGGTAAATTTTGATCCTGAAAAGCCCAAATCATTCAGCTGGCAATCTTCTAGAATATCCTTAAACTGCTGACATTTTGAATAACTTGGAGGTGATCCACCTTTTTTTCCCCTAAGGCAGCAATTTCATTGAAATCTCCACCAACTATCCATGGCTCAGATCTCTCTCTACTCATTACTTTCAAATTATTCCATAAGCTTTTCCTTTGAGCTTCTCTTGGGCTAGCATAAATGGCAGTACATAAATTTTTTTCCCATTATTCAGAGTCATTCTAGTATGAATCCACTAATCCGTTTGAGCAATTGGATCCACTTTGATTTTAGATGATGCTCACATGATCCAAATACCCCCACTAAATCCTTGAGCTTCTTCCACACATTTGTTATCAAATCCACATTTCTTCATGATATTTAAACCAATAGAACTATTGGTTCTAGGTTCCAAAAAAAACCACACAAGAAATACTATATTGCCTCACTAGATTATTAAGGCACCTACTTAACTCCCCACTTGCAGCTCCTCTAACATTCCAAAAGAGAATAGACATAAATAAACTAAGAGTTGATTACAGGGTTATAGAGTACCTGTTTCTCCTCTTCCATGGGTGAAAAATTCCCACTTTGATCATCATGCACCTTCTGATTATCATCCACCCCATCTTGCTCCATCTCTTGAATTAGCGGATTAGGTGGTCTTGGTGGCTGGAGGATACTCATATTAGCTGCATTCTGATTAGCAACCAATGAGTCATTCACATTATCATCACTTTGCTGTCTTTGGATTGAAGGGACTCCATATTTGCGGAAGCCTTTCTGTTTTACTTCTTCAGTTTTTTTTCTTGTTGAGTTAGACTGCCGAGAATTGTTGCTAGAATCAGGTTCATTATTAGCCCCAGAAGTCTCCCCACTCGAGCCTTTAAAGCTACCATTATTGCTGCCATTCTTCATTATTTCACCATTTCTTCCAACAAGCTGGAAATCAGTCTTATTCTCCACCATCTTATACTCAGTCTTCAACTGTTTTTTTCTTCTTCTTATCATTTTTCCTGGGTTGAACATTTCTGCCCTGCTCATTAGCCTCCAATTCAACTATATCCTGCTCATCTGGAATTTCCTTCTCTGCATTTTCATTTTCCAAGATAGCATATCTTGAATTTGTTCCTCTTGAAAGATTAGATAACTGACTCCCCCTTGCTTTTTTGATGCTACTGCATTATTGTTATTTACTCTTTTTGGCTTGCTCACTAGCATCCAAGGGCCATACTTACTCTCAGCTTTATCATTCACCACCTCTTTTCCTTACAGCTCCTCTCTGGCCTCTTCTTTCTCTGTAATCTCCTTATTCATCTCCTCATTTGATCCACCCACTTCATGTAAGCATTTTTTTGGACAGCTTTCTACTCTATGACCATATTGGCCACATGAGTAGCAGACAAGATGAAGTCCTTCATACTCCACTTGCTTGATTCTGCCCTCTACCTTATACTCAGCTTGTAGGGGTTTGGTCAGATCCAATTCAACACACATTCGAGCAAACCTACCTCTAGCCATCGATGTTGTTGCTGCATCTACCTTAATGAATTTGCCTATCCAATTTTCGATTTCCTTCATCAGCCCTGAATTAACATACTCAATAGGAAATCCTGGTAATGTAACCCATTCTGTAATTCTATTAATTGCTGCTGGATAAGGTTGGAAGTCAGGCTCCCATGATCTAATAGCAAGATAGTGCTCCATAATTACCCAAGGACCCGATGTAAGAGCATGGTCTAAATCTTTTTGATTCGAAAAGCTAACCAAAAAGAAACCATTTTCTATATCAGTGATGAAAATATTTCCTTCTCTTTCCCATAAATTTTCTAAACATTTTTTCATGAAAGTCAAAGGCAACTTCTTACCAAATAATTTGACAATCAGGGCTTTTCTCCATGGTTTCCATGCCTTTTTCTTGAAAGCATCAGAGAGCTTGAAGTTCATCCGACCATCTTTATCTACTTTCCAGGTTACTTCAGGTTGTTTTTCCCCTTCATCGACCAACTCTTGATCCTCTGCCTTTTCTTCATCCTCTTCCAATTCTAGTTCCCCTTCCTCTGGCCACTCCTCATTGTGCCTCATCAACATTTCTTTGAAAGACATACCTTCTTCATCCACTCCTCCTCTCTTGGTGTCATTGTCTGATCATGGCTAAAAGGCTTATCTCCCCCTTTATACTTTTTTTTACTTCGCTGCAAAATATCAGCTTCCTCCGGCGAGATTGCATGACTTGTCTTCTCCGACATTCGAAACCCTAGCAGAGCATTGTTTGAAACCCTAGTAGAGTGTTTTTTGAATTACTGAATATTTATTCTTTAACTATTATCATTGCTGCTCAAGAGCATCATAATTTTTCAAACTATTCAAATATTCAATATAAGATCCAACTCATATCCATTATCATAATTCAAATATCTATCATAGTAAAGTCCAAATCCAACTATCATTTCATAATTCAAATCATATCAGAGTAAAGTCCAAATTCGACTATCATTTCATAATTCAAATCATATCATTTATCCATTATTTGAATTAATCCTATAAATTTATGAAACTCGTATCATTTATCCAACTCATATCATTAAAAAGTTATACCAAACATAATTTTGTAATTAATCCTATCAATTTCTAGATTTTACAATAATTTAAAATATCCTAAAGATTACATATAGCATATTCCAAATATAATTTCCTAAGGATTAAGATTTTATAATATATAACTACCTAAAGATAAGGACTATTCACAACAAAATTTATTTTAAAGATAACCTACAATTTCCTAGGGATTAGATTACTATTAATTAATCACAATCACACATAATCATAAATCATATATTTGGCAAATTTTCTTTAAAGGGTATCACAATTTTAAATCATAAATCTCATGATCATGAATCTCATATTTGGAAAGTATTATAATTTCAAAATCAATTGCAAATCATATATTAGGAATTTTTTTCATAATCACATAATAGTAAATTATTCTTTATTTCCATTTATTCCAAAATAATAATTCTAATATTTTTCCAATAAAATTTCTTAAATATCGCATGTAATAATTCGAATTTAAGAATCATGACAAACATCTTCATACAAAATTAACCTAAGAGGACCTAGGTTAGGATTACATATAATAAATTTCAAACAAAATTATAACCTAAGAGCACCTAGAGATTAGGATTACCTTGTCTCCGTGTTTGCTATCTTCTAGAATCTCAGGAAGAGAAGCAGTTGTGACCAAATTAAAATAAATAAATAAAATTTTGAGGTGAGAAGAGAGTAACGAGGGAGAAGGTGAAAAATACTTAGGATTGAAAGTGAAATGGTTTGGTTAGGCTAGGCCTCTATTTATAGTTGAAGTTCTGAGCTTGGGTATGGATTTCGTGCAATTATTTCTTTATTCTTCATTGATGTATCTGGCTCAGATATTGGCTTCATACACTATTTCCTTTTTATTCTTAATTTGCTATGGCTCAGAATATAGCTAACTTATTTGCTAACTCAAGGCTGACTCATGATTGCCTCATCATATCTAATCAAATTACTAATCAAACATTACTAATCAATTAATAATTCAAACAATCATAATTTATCACACATTATTATTATTACTACTAATTTACAATTTATTACTATTATAAATTAGTTGTATTATAAATTACTATCATTTTCCTGGGATATTACAAAAGGTAATTTAAGGATATTCTCTTCCCTTGTTTGGGAGTTAAAAAATTGTAAGGGAAAAATTGGAGAGTCAATGAGATATTTTTACAATTTTAACTTTTTTTAAATTAATATAATAATTATATTTTACAAATAAAATTAAGTTTAAAATTTCTAAACAAAATTATTTATGTATTTTTCAAACTACTAAAAAAGATCATATTTTCGACGAAAATTTTACGTAGCAAATGATAAAAATTCCATCAAAAAAATATTTTTCCATCGAAATACTTTTCATCGAAAGGCGACAGAAATTTATCCGATGAAATTTTATACAAAAATAAATTTTTTGTCAAAATTTACGACGGAATTTAGTTTCCGTTAAAAGTTTGGATAAAAAGATTTTTTGAATATTTTTTACGACAAAAGTTCCATCAAAAGTTTTGACGAAAAAAGAATTCACCAACAAATTTGATGGAAAGTTTTCAGTCAATTTTTTTTGATGAAAATGTGTCACAACGAAAATTTCCACTAAAAAGTTTTTGTCAAAAATTTTGAGGGAAATGTTTCTATAAAACTTTTGACGGAAATTAGATTCCGTAAAGAATTTTGACATAATATTTTTTTTTTGTCAAAATTACTTACAAAAATATTTTTCGTCGAATTTTTTTACAAAAATATTTTCCATCTAAATTTTTTGAGAGAAATGTATTCCGTTGAAAATTATGATAGAAATGTTTTTTGTCTAAAATTTTGCTGGACATATTTTCTGTAGAAAATTTTAGATGGAAATGTGTTTCGTCGAAAGTTTCAACGTAAATTTTTTTCGTCAAAAAATATGATGAAAATATTTTCGTCGAAAACTGTTGACGGAATTTAGATTCTGTTAAGAATTTTGACGATATTTTCAAAGGAAATGTGTTTCGTTAAAAATTTTGAGGTAAATATTGTTCGTCCAAAATTTTGACTAATATGTTTTTTGTCAAATATTTTAACGGAATTCAGATTTCGTAAAGAATTGTGACAAAAAAAAGTTTCTGTCACAATTTTTTACAAAAATATTTTTCATCACAAATTTTTACGGAAATATTTTTCGTTGAAAATTTTCGCTGTAAATGTGTTTCGTTGAAAATTTTGACGAAAATATTTTCCGTAAAAAAATTTGACGGAAATGTTTTCCGACAAAAAAATGTACTTAATTGTTTTCGGTAAAAAAAATTTTATGGAAATATTTTCTTTGAATAGTTTGACGGAAATATTTTCATTAAAAGTTTCAACCAAATTTAGATTATATCCTGAATTTTGACTGAATTTTTTTTCGAAAAAAGTTTATGTGAGTGATTATGGCCAATTCTTGTTTCGTTTCTATTTTTGATGTAATTTGATTTTCGTCGATAAATTCTGTCGGTATTTGATATTTTTATAATAATGTCACATTTAAAAATGATTCATATTTATGTAATTTTCACATTTTAATGTTAAGGTTAGATAAGTAATTTTTAATATTTTCCTCCTTAAACCCCCCAAATTGGGGGAACTTTAATTTTAAGGGTGGGAAGAGTTTTGGAGGATTTTGCAAAAATCCTCAACTCCTTTCCTTCATTTTTTTAAGAGTAAATATCATTTTTGGTCCCTGGCAATATCCACGAAGCCCTTATTGGTCCCTAGCAATAAAAAAAGGACATAGTGGTCCCTTAAATTACAAAAAAAGGTCACGTTAGTCCTTTTGTTAAATCCCATCCAAGGCCCAACTAATGGTGCACACTTGGCGCGTTAGTTTGCTGACGCGGATTTGAGTGGTCCACCGTGGATGTTGAGATGACGACGTTTTGATAATCGGTTGCATCTTCATGGTCGTGTGGACACCTGGCCTAGCATCAGTTGCATCTCCAACGCCCTTATTGGTCCCTGACAAAACTACGGGGCCTTTTTTGGTCAATAACTAAAGAAAAACAGGGATATGAAATCAGAGGATTTCTATGCAACCAAATTTGTCAAACCAGAAGACATGGATGTACAACAATCTGAAGTTCAGCTTTCTAAATCATGAAATCATGGTATGACACTTATTGTTTCAAACGAAAGTGCAATAATTCAAACAACATATAAGCTAAAACTTGTTGTATACCAAACATAGAAGCATGTCCCTAGCTTAAATGATAAGACAGCTTAAACAATGCATACAACATTGCTGCTCTACTTTAGACTTTAGAGAAATAGAACTGACTAACATGCATATCTTCTCTATTCACTTTTACTGCCATATTTTTACCAACAAACACATTACTTGTTAATGATGAGAGTCTGCAGAAGTGCATATACTAAATAACATAGCTAGTTACAATTTGGCAAAAATACCCCCTTCTTTTTTCAACAGAAAAATTTAAAAGTTATTCTATGAGTAGGATAGATAAAGGAGAATATAAAAATGAAACTTACAGAAAGTCAAGAACAAAAAAAATAATACCATGAAACCCTCAATCTCTCAGTCAATTCATAGTAAAAAGAACCTTCAAGAGCTAAGCCAAGTGAACACTTTCATTTTCACCCCAAATTAAATGTAAATTTGATTTAATTTTTAAAAATACTAGCATCCTCTTAAACTTACATACACCCAGATCCAGAAAGCATAGAGCATAGTGTCACAACCCTTCACTTCCCCTACCAAAGTGTCATCCATCTGTTCAGCATAAAGAACTGGCCCCTTCTTCATCCAACGGTTCAGATGGCAATCCGTGTCAGCCTTGCCCAAACTCCTTGATTGGTTCTACCCAACCATCACACATCGCGGACGATGTTGTGTCTCAAGGGGAGAGGGCTGTAGTGAACCTAAATGAACTACAAGACCTTATTCCTGGAGTCACCATTGACCACAAGCCCAAGAGGAGTATTTTGAGGCCCAAACGATTTGCTGATTTCATAATGGACTGAGACCGCTTATTATTTTGTGCCTTGCCTTTTTAATTCAATTGTTACTTGGACGGGCAAAAAAATTAATTTAATGCTTTTTAATAAATTAATTACGCATTTATTACAATTTTGGAAATAATTACACATTTATTGCACAATAAAACGCCCAAATTGGGCGTCACTCAAGAGGCAATCAAGCCTAATTTAGGCGTAACTCATCAAGTGTTGACACGTGTCATATTTTTTTCCAAAAAAATAATAATTTAATCATAAAAAATTCTGAAGGCCATAACTTTTGACTCGGGTATCCAAATCAGGTAATTCTTTTTTGATTTCACATAACTTTTCGAGATCTACGTAATGACATCTCATTTGACATATTTTATTTCTCACAAACACAATTTTAATTTACAAGAATGGTATTATAAGAGCGGTTAAACCGAGAAGCCTTTAAGTTCTGGGTTTGTGATTTAATATAAAAAATTAAATAAAATTTTGATTTGTGATTTAATTTTTTTTTATAATAATATTTTTTATTAAATCAAAAATTTGGTTTGTGATTTAAATTAAAAATAAAAAAAAATTATTAATAAGGAAAACAAAATAAAAATTTGATTTGTGATTTAAACTAAAAAATCAATTTGAAAAATCTGTAGAAATAAAGGAAATAATTAAATAAATATTCTAAATCTATAAAGAAGGAGGATATTATTTTTGAAATTAATGATTAATGCTATAAGCTTCTGGGTTATTATTCGTGCTCTAAAATTAATGATGGTTTATTAATGTTTTTCAAAAATAAAATTACCTAAATTAGGCGTGATTGCCTCTTGATTGAAACTCAATTTAGACGTGATTGGTGACGTGTCAAGTGTTGACACGTGTCACATTTTTAAACTCAGAAGACTCTGAGACTGAGTTCTGCGTTTGTGATTTAATATATAAAAAATCAAGATTTGATGTGCGATTTAAATTAAAAAATAAATTTTTTATTTTTATTATAAAAAAATTTGGTTTGTGGTTTAAATTAAAAATAACAATTATTATTAATAAGGAAAACAAAATAAATATTTGATTTTTGATTTAAACTCAAAAATCAATTTTTAAAAATCTGCATAAATAAAGAAAATAATTAAATAAATATTCTAAATCTATAAGAAAGAAGAATTACCTAATTTAAATTTAAATTATTTTTGTGAGAAATAAAATATATCAAATGAGATGTCATTGCGTAGATCTCGAAAAGTTATGTGGAATCAAAAAAAAAATTACCTGATTTGAATACACGAGTCAAAAGTTATGGCTTTCAGAAGTTTTATGATTAAATTATTATTTTTTGGAAAAAAAAATGACAACTGTAAATTAGAAATAGTTATAATTTATTGGATCAAAATTACACCCGTTGATTTTTGTCCATCAATAGTAATAATTTATTGGATCAAAATTATTAATTAAATAATAATAAATTTGGCCCATTAAATTTGACGGAAATGTAAGATGATATAAGGTTATAACCTTTTTAAAAGGATTGTTTTCCCATAGAAAATATAGAAATTGTTGGACATTCTTTTCTCTCTATTTTTTCTCTCGTCTCGATCTTCTTCTTTTTCTCTTCATTTGAAACCCTAACCTTACAGTGCTCCTGTCCGTGGCTCCGATCGTTCAACCGGTGCGTGTTTCTCTGTTTCGAGAGGGTTTTGTTTATTATCTTTCTTAACATGAATTGATGGCTAATTACTGATTGCAAACCTTACTACAGAACCCGTTTGGATGACTTTTTTTTCTTCAAAAGCAATTTTTTTTAAGAAAAAAAAAGCACTTCTCGAAAAAAGTCTATTTGGATGCGTGCTTTTAAAAAAAAGCAGAAATCATAAAAAAAAAAAAAGTCAAAAACCTACTTTTTTTTTTTTTTTTTCGGAAGCTAAAAACTTTAGCTTTTAAGAAAAACAGAAATCAAAAGCCAAATGTTTTTTTCAAAAATTAAATATTTTTTTAAAAATCTAAATAGCGGTAACTTTTATTGAAAATACTTTTAAAACAAGGAAGTGATGAAAATGACTTTTATAAAAAGCCAATACAAACGAGCTCTCTATAGTAGTTGGACATCCTATTTGGTCAAATACCTAGCGACAAACTCCTATGTTCCTTTCATTACAGTATTTCTGAACAAGTTCCTGGATAACAAACCCAAGGGTTTTTTTATTGAATGTTCTAGCTCTTTACTTATTGCAAACCTTATTATGTTCTAGCCTTGTGATTATTAGTGGTCCTGTTTTTTCAGTGCTGATGTTTATTCCGAATTGAAAGAATTTTATCACATTACATTTGCTTTGTGTAACAAAAATATGAGAAGGTGAAAAATAAGATGGAGGTGTTGTTGATATTAATTGAAGCAGCTCTTGATTTTTTTAATTTTTTTCTAGTTTTTAGTTTTTTTTTTTTTTTTTTTAGTTCTTTGAATTTGCCTCTGTTCTTGACAATGCACCATAACCTGATATTTACTGTAAAATCTGCAGTTGGTATGGATCACGCCAGAGTTCACCCTAAGGTTCTACATTCTAATGCTACATGTCATAAGTGGGCTCTTGGAGGTAATCTGGGCATGTTTGTATTAGTGGTTAATCATTTCAGTGATATCGAGTGAATTTATATTCCTCCCTTTGGTTCTTAGACATTTATTGTTATTTAGCATGCTTAGATTGATTATTTTTCTGCAGCTTTTGCTGAGCTTTTGGACAATTCATTGGATGAGGTATGCCTCACTTCACTTGTTTTATTAAGTACTGGTTGTGATTATTTCCCTTATTTACTTCTTGAATTTTGACTTCAGGTTTGTAATGGAGCTACATATGTTAATGTAGATATGCTTGAAAGTGAGAAAGATGGCACCAGGATGTTGCTGATTGAAGGTATTGTCATTTAAGAATTGTTTACTTAATAGATCTATGGAAAGAAACAAAATGTAGAAGATTGATAATTCTGATGATTTGTTTTGGTAATAGAAAGGGATAAAAAAGAGGATTATGCTTTATTCACTATTCTGTGTGCAAGAATACCCAGTAGGATTTCATAGAAATATGTGGCTTTTATTCTTCCATGAATTTTTTTTTTTGTCAATTTATATTTCTGATCTGTTCAGAAATTCTTGCATAAAATGTTCAATGTTTGTTGGGACCTTCCTTGTCTTAAACGAGTACATGATGGAATACGATTGGCAATTTAGAACTCATTCGGATTCCTTTAAATTTCTAATCCCACCTTTATTTCATCTATAATTTGTTTTCTTTCTTTAAATTGATATCCAAAGTACAATCAGCACGGCACCTTTTTTTCATTAGAAGCAGTATTTCTAATGTTACATGATAAGAATATTAGAAAAGATTTAAAAATTTGATTTATGAATGTCTTGTGAGTAGAGTCCGAATAGAAGATTTTATACTCTCCCTTCTTTTTTCTGTTTTGAAATCTAAAACATTGTATTGTTGATTGTTATTTCAGATGATGGTGGTGGGATGGATCCTGTTAAAATGCGTCAATGCATGTCGCTGGGGTATTCCGAGAAAAGCAAATTGGCAAATACAATTGGACGATGTAAACCTTTAGTTTAGGGGAGAAGATAAATCTTGTTTAATATTTCATTTCAGAAGATAAATCTTTTTGAATATTTCATTCCAGAGAGTATACTGATGTTTTAGTGTTTATGTTATAGATGGAAATGGCTTTAAAACAAGTACCATTAGGCTCGGGGCTGATGTAATTGTATTCTCCCGTTGTCATGGGAAAGATGGGAAGAGGTTTGTTTAACTTTCTTATTGTTTCATTCAATTTTCTTTCCAAGCTGGAGATGTATTCTGCATGTAGAGAGAATTAATTTCTGAATTAGTAATTTTAGTATTTGTTATATCTTTCTTGAAGTAACAAATAGTTGGTGTTTTAGTATTTGTTGGCTTTAGGATGCTCGTTTGCATATACCGAGGTCAAGTATTTATACGTATCACTATTAGCAATGCAATGTAATGTTAACTTCTCATTGCAGACATTGAATAATTGTTTTATTCATAAGTTAAAATTATATGAAGTAAATAGGTAACAATCTTTTTGCAAAAATAATTCAGGGTAAGATTACATAAAGCTTTCCCCTCTCCCTTACCCTCTCAAGTTGGGGTTTCATGGAATTTTTTTTTTTTTTTTTGTTTAGTAATTCTTCCTTTTACCGCATTAAAAAGACAAACGAACTGATATCGTTTATTATTTGTGGCTCTTGGTGGAAGAAGTTTTTGTAATTGTGAGAAGTGTGCTTACATTATGGGTGCAATTTAAAATGCTTCATTTTGAAAAGTTCCTTGTTTGCTGCACTCTGATGGTTTTGTAATTTGTTATTGTTCGGAGAAACAAGTGTCCATTTATATTTTAGGTTACCTGGTCTATCTTTGGCACAATCAATAATTGTAGAATTTTCATTAATAACTATCAGCGTTTATGGTCATGCTTGAGGATGAATTTGTTATATTCGTATTTCAATAACCATTGTTTATCATGGCATGCTTCTCTATCTAACTGGGTGATTTGGACATTGTTATTAGCTCTACACAAAGCATAGCCTTGCTGTCTTACACATTTTTGAGGAGTACATGGAAGGATGACATTGTAGTACCCATGGTAATTTGTACTATTTCCTTATTTGTTTTAATTTACACGCACACATGTACGCTCACCTTAATTTACGCACTCACGTGGACACACGTAGCCACATCAGTAATTGCAAGAGGCCTTGCGCCTGTCAATTAATGAACTTTATCTTTTGAGGTATTATATAATTATAGTTTACACTATTATATTGAAATAGTGAATTAATGGGAGAGTCTAATTTATCTACTCAAGGATTGTCGAATTCCCATGGACATATGTTACATCTTAATTCTAGATTTATCCTTGATCACCGTAGCAACTGTGCTTGCAATTAATTATCTTATTTTCAGCTTTAAGGTTTGTGTTATCACCAACAAAAATAATAATTTGATTCATTAGTAACAAATAATGGGATGGGGTGGGATGTTTGTAGATTGGATGAATCTATTTCTGTGAGAGACATTCAAGGTTGAGAAGGTGTTTTCTATTGAATTTGATTATTTGAATTTATGTTCCTCTAACATGCATCTAAATGTTGTTTATACTGAAATGAAAGCTGGACTATGGAAGAGATGGACGGGAATGGAATAGTATGATACGAACTTCTCTGGAAGATTGGAATAAAAATGTTGAAACAATAGTTCAATGGTCGCCATTTTCCAATGAGGCTGATCTACTTGGTCAGGTAATCACTTGCTATTTGAGTGGGTAATTGATTTCACATCTTTTTCTTTTCTGACATTTCCTCTTCTGGGTTTTATTGCCTAATTTAATGAGTTGTCAGGTTATATATTTGTATGTCGGTTAACTGTTGTTGTCTTACTCTAATACAATTTTCAGTTCAACCTGATGAAAGGTCATGGTACACGAATAATCATATACAATCTTTGGGAGGATGATCAAGGTCAGCTAGAACTTGATTTTGATGCAGACGCACGTGTATGTCTGATTGATGACTGAATCATATTATCCTCCACACTCCCCTCCCCGTCCTTACAAAAGAAAAAAAAATATCCATTTATTTTAAACAAATTTTGACATGTTTATGTTTTGTGTCAGGATATTCAAATAAGAGGTGTAGATCGGGATGAGAAAAAAAGACAAATGGCTGAACAGTTTCCCAACTCTAGACACTTCCTAACTTACCGACATTCACTAAGGGTAATTCAAGATTATTATTATTACTATTATTATTTGTTTCAGACATCAGCATATTATGTTGTTTCTTGTATTCCTGGTCTGTAAGTGTATATGTTAATTAAGTAAAGGTTTTCAAAGTTGAAACCTTGAAAATGGAGAATTAATTAGACATAGACTCTAGAAAGAAAACTTATTTAAAGTTTGATCAAAAAGATTTAGTTCAATTTCATATTTAATATACACGTGAATCTGCCTTTTGTGTGTGTATTATCATATTTCTCGTGATTATTATTCTTGTCTATCCAGAGTTATGCCTCAATTTTATACCTGAGGTTTCCACCGGGCTTCCGAATTATTCTTCGAGGGGAAGATGTTTTGCATCACGATATAGTGAATGATATGATGATGTCTCAGGAGGTGAAATACAAGCCACAATCGGGGGCTGATGGGATTCCAAAGGATTCAAATGTAATGTCGATTTAATTTAAAGTTTGATCTTCCTAACTTGCAGCAGATTGATTTCATCTAGATCTTATGACAGATGGTTGCTCTTGTTACTATCGGATTTGTCAAGGATGCAATTCATAATGTTGATGTTTCAGGGTTTAATGTTTATCACAAGAATCGACTTATTAAGGTGGGGTTTGTAGTTTTTTGGTTATTTTATCTTGTATCTGAAGAAGTTCATCCCCCTCTCTTCCCTTTTGAAGTTTTTGTGGTCCAACTGCTTTTGAGATAATAAAGAATATTTTCTCAGTTGTTAACTTGCGTCTGTTGATTTTAATCTATAATTGGTCATTTGACATAGACATATATATATTTGTACTGGCATATTTGTACTGTTGTTGCACTTTATCTCCTGTGTTTTTGTTAAGGTTCATCCATGTCGATTCGATTCTGTTCGTAAAATTGTTTGCTGTGTCTGTTTTCAAACTGGCTTTTTTATGAGGAGTTTCTTTTGAATTAAATTAACATTTATTTGTTTGGTTGGAATTTGAAAATTAAATGAAAAACTCTAGATATTCACTTTTGTTCAAATAATCAAGACTTCCTTTGAACTACTCAGAAGCGTTAGTAGTTTTTTGTTAGGGGGATTAAGTTCAGAAGCTGTTTTATGATAAAGCAATCAATGTGGACTTTCCCTTTTGGTGGATTCTTGGACTTGGGGGAGTTAGGTTCAGTTTGTAGAGGTCCAAACGTTGTCATTAGAGTTTATTCTTACTGGTGGTTTTCATGATTGTCAGCCATTCTGGAAGATCTGGAATCCAGCAGGAAGTGGTGGGCGTGGGTTCATAGGTGACACTTTTTCCTGTGCTCTTTTGAGATCCTCTTATCAAGTTGACTATACTCATTTAGGATATGGTTCATTTCCATTTGCAGCTGTGTTGGAAGCCAACTTTGTTGAACCTGCTCATGATAAGCAAGACTTTGAGCGTACATCAATTTTATCAAAACTGGAGACACGACTGATACAACTGCAGAAGAAATATTGGTGATTCTTTATTCTCCATTGGATTATTCATGACAATTGTTTGAATAAACTATGAAGTATTTTGACTTTACTAATTTGTTATTTTCTTCTTTATTTAGGTACTCTAACTGCCGTGAAATTGGTTATACTTCCAATCCAAGTAAGAAACAAATCAGCGGCTCTGTCAATAAAGGTATGATATGAGGCCTTACTTTGTTGTAATTTGATACATGTGGTGCTTTCTCGTGGTGAGTGAAATCCTATTATGGATGACCTTGTGATTTCTACAAATGTATCTTGTTTTGTAGAGACACCTACCTGTTATGTTCCAGAATCATCTCAATCAAAAAGGAAATATTCTGCCACAGATGGCAAGGGAACAGCGTTGGCATCAGACAAACTGTGTTATAATTCGAATCAGAAACGGAGACGAAAGGAACCAGAAAGATATAGTGCATACATAAATAGTCGTTTGTCAGCCTCTCCTAAAAGTAGGATACAAAGTTCATCTGAACAATCCTCATCTTGTGATGATATCAGTGATCAAATTAAGAAACAAGCAAAAGGTGGTAATCAAAAGACATCTAATGCTAAAAAGTCATTTGAAAATGAGAATGAATGTTTTCGAGAGACTACATCAAGTGGAAAAACCTTGCAGTCCACACGAGAATCTAAGCTGAAGGTCATCCATATCATCATCTCTCTCTCTATTTCTCTCTGTCTTCTTTCTATTTTTTCTGCCAGTATACATACTTACATTGCAACTTGAGCAAGTGCTGGTGATATGTGAGGCTTGAAAAGGGTGGATTTAGAAATCTACTACTTTTACAATAAATTTGCTGCATTTTATCAGAAGAAAGGCATGAAGAAAGAGTGACTGAATGGATGAAAATAATAGAAAAACGAGGATTTTGTAAACATCCAAACCGACAGAGCTTAGGTTTATTTTTTGAGGGGTCGGGGGAGGTCCTGGGTGTCAGGTTAAAGCAATGGTCTTTATCCATTGCTGAACATTAAACATTGAGAATAGATGATTACAAGTTTTGATATAGTGACCCCTAAGATGCTCCAAGGCGCCCTGCCCTCAGTACTGTGTCTCAGCTCATTGCTGGCGTGTGATTTGCTTTTTTAAAATATTTAGAACCAGGTTATAACTAACACCAATAGGAAATTTAAACTAAAATAGATTTGACCTATATAACATGTTCTTGTGATTCAATTAGATGTTAGAATGATTTTCTGTCAATCTCTTACGAGAAAGTCATCAAACATAATGGGTAATACAAGGCATTGAGGATTTTATTTAATGGAATTTGTTTACAATATGGGCATCTCAAAATGACTTTTGGTAGAGCTGATTAAAAAAACTGCTTCATGACTCTGGCCTAGATGGCTAAGAGCTTAAGATGCATTTTATCTTGACATTTTTTTTTCTTGTGTTATTTGGCAATGGATCCTAAAATGTGTTTGAACTGCAGGTACAAGATGTTAGTGATGGCGAGCAACCACTATCTGATGCTGATTTACAAACTCTGGAGAAGTTAAAAAAGGAGAAACGTGAGCTGAAGGAAAGGTATGTTGTAATTTTATAAATTTCACTGCAAACCTTGGTTTCTTTATTGAACCTAATTCATTGACTCTTATCCTTCTTTTTTGTGCTTTTGGGTTATAGATTAGAGCGGAAGGAGGAAATTTTGGGGGCAGTATTGCGGGCTATGCAGTGTGATAAAGACTGGTGTAAATCTCTTGAAACTCAGGTTTGGATCATGGCCTTTTGTCTTTTAGACATCTGTGTTAGAAATAACATAATAGCTTGGTTTGATGATGGCCTTTTCGTTTATAAGTGAAATGGTTACGGAGAAGCATAGTGATATTTCACTAAATTAAACATTAATAATTTCAAAATTTTAGCAAAATATTGTACAGTCCATCGTCAGCAATGTTTGGATACTAAGGATCATTTTGAAATTAAACAATGATTAATTACATTCAACTTTAATAAAGTTATTAACCCTCCCATCGATGCTCTGGTAATGGCACCGAAGGTCCAAATAACAATTTTAATTTTAACAAGTGTTTTGCCCATCCCAAACAACATTCTCATCTCTACAGCACTAAATACTCTTGTTAGCACTATACAACCTAACATTCGGTACATAAAGTTTGTGTCTCTGGCATTATGATTGTTTGGTAAAACTTTCCTTTGAGCTTGAGAGTAATAGAAATGTAATTTGCAAATTTGATGTCTAAATCTTGGTTGAGGTGAATATCAATATTAAAGATGTTGTAGATTCAACTGAAACCAAATAGGAGGAGGACAATGAATATGGTACTCGATGAATTTATCTAACCCCTAAAATTGCTTTGTCCATTTTAAATTTAATTGCATATTTCTTAAAATGTCTCCTCTTCTTTGTCAGCTCGAAGCTGTAGAAAAAAAGATTGAAGATTTGAACAAAGAACAAGGAGCTCTTCTTCAGGTTTTGAAGAAAAAAATTTGAGAAAGAAGCTTCAGGTTTCCCCCCATTACTTGGTGTTGATTCCCTTGACACGTGAAGATTCAAATTATCATCAAGCATTGTTAATTAATTTTTAATTTAAATGGTCCATTTACTTGATTAGATTAACTGTAACAATGCTACTCATAAATTTGTGTTGCTTATGCTAGAACAAAGATCTTGTTTAGTTGATCAACTATGAATGATTTAGTGATACCAAGGTTGTTAAAAACGCGTTTTAAAGCGTAAAAACTTCGCTTTTACGTTTTTTTGGGGGCAAAGCGTTTTCGTTTTGGGAAAAAAACGTTTTACTGGTGAAATCGTTAAAAACGTTGCGATTAAACGTGAAAACGTAAACACGCAATTTTGATTTCTGAAACCAAAAAGCCCCAAATAAAAAATCCCTAGATTTCTTTTATTCCTTTCTTCCTCTTTTGTCTCTAATCTCCATCTGAACTTTGAAGTCGTGGGTGGTGGGCTCGTGCGGCAGACGCAGACCAACTGGGTCTAGTAACTAGCGACTCATTTCTTATTTTGGTGAGTATATGTTATCTTGTATTGTTTGATTTGGTTACTATGTGGACTTACCCACCAAATAAAATTTTGTGTAAGAGGTAACCTAGTTTTCTTAATTATGTGGACTTACCCACCAAATAAAATTTTGTGTAAGAGGTAACCTATTTTTCTTAATTATGTGGACTTGCAAATGTATATATATGGTGGCAGGTGACCTATTTTTCTTAATTATATTTATATATATATATAAATATTTATATATAATTTAATTTTATAATATAGGTAAAATTTATGTTTTGTATTACGATTTTACGTTTTACGATTTTACATTCGCTTTCCGTTTCTACGTAAAAACTCGTTTTGACAACCTTGAGTGATACCATTGTGGCAGGTAGGGTTGTGCATGGGTCAGGTCGGGTCAGGTTTTTGTGCCGACTCGACCCAACTTGGTTTTTATAGGTCAGTTATTTTGACCCGACCCGCATTAATTTGATCAAAGTCAGGTCTGACTTGGTTTGGATTTTTTTGAACTAGATCAGAACCGGGTCGGATCTGACTTGACTTGGTTTCTGCTTGGTTTCAGAAGTGGGTCAAATCCGACCTGGTCCGTTTTTGACTTAGTTTTTTCACAAAATTTCGTCGAAATTTCTACGTTGCAAATGTCAAAAATTGTCACAAAATTATTTTTTCGTCGGAATACTTTTTTGTCGAAAAGCGACAAAAATTTTTCTCTTATGAAATTTTTTACAAAAATAAGTTTTCTATGGAATTTAATTTCTGTCAAAAGTTTTGACAAAAATGATTTCCTCCATCAAATGTTTTAAACGAAAAAAGAATTCCATAAAAAATTTTGACAGAATATTTTTCGTTCAAAATTTTGATAGGAATGTGTTCTGACGAAAATTTCGACGAAAATTGTTTTGAGGTAAATGTTTCATTCGAAACTTTTAATGAAATTTAGATTCTCTAAAGAATTTTGACAAAATATTTTTTCCGTCAAAATTTTTTATCGAAATATTTTTTGTCAAAAAATTTTGCGAAATTTTTTGACAGAAATGTGTTCCATTGAAAATTTTGATGGAAATGTTTTTTTATCAAAGAACTTGACAAAAATATTTAGTCGAAAACTTTCGATGGAAATGTGTTTCGCTAAAAATTTCGACGAAATTTTTTGGTCAAAATGTTTAACGATGGAAATGTGTGACCTTGTTCTTGGCTTCTTGAGCTTCAAGAAGCCACCTTTTGGCACAAAGGGACAAGCTTGAAGTGTATTTTCATAGCCTTGTGAAGTCAGAACCTTGGGGTTGCATTGAAGGCTTCCTTTCTGCTTCATTTTCGGAGTTTAGAGCTCTTGAGGTGAGCCATGATCACCTTAGTGTCATTTTGAGGCCTAAAGCTTGTTTAATCAATTATAATGAGGAACTTTAACCATTTGAGTAAAGGAATCTGTTTTTGGGTTCATAACATGTTGGTGGTTATCTGTTTAGGGAGTCATTGGACTCCCAATCGCTTTTGGATCCTTAAATTTGGGATTATGCAGAAGTTGGCTCGAATTTCTGCATTCTGTTGAAGAAGTATTCGAATACTTTTCGTGTAGTATTCGAATACTTGTTCATGGTAGTCGAATACTCCTTGTAGCAGTATTGGGATACTTTTCTGAGAAGAAAAGTATTTGGACACCTTTGAAGAAGTATTCGGACACCTTTGAAGAAGTATTCGAATACTGGAAAGTATTCGAATACAGTAAGGTTTAGTATTCAGATACTTGAGTATTCGGATACTGGGGGGAAAGTATTCAGATACTTGGTAGTATTCTCATACTTTAGTGAAAGTAATCGAATACTTTCTGGAGAGCTGGAGTATTCGAATACTACTCGTGGAGTATTCGAATACTTCCTACAGAAACAACGTGTAATGAGTTAAAATGAGTAGGAAAGACTTAATCACTTAATGTAATCTGAGCTATGATTATTGATGATTAATTATGGTATGGGCAGATTGTGATTGTGCTGTTTGTGGGCCTTGAGCTTGTGTGAACTCTTGGCATTGGATAGTTAGCTTGCAAGGTAAGCTTTCGTGTCCTCGGTTTAGCCATGTTGTGGTTCCACCATGTCCCATGGGGGTATGGTTATATGCATGTTGTGTTATATGTTTTGGATATTTGAAATGCTGTTGAGCTTTATGTGTAATGGCTTTTAATATGCATGTTTTGTTCCATCTTGACGGTAAGCCTGAGTATGTGGCGTCATACAAGACGGTGATCCGGGGTGGATGCAAGTAGCATCTTGCACTATTTGTGGGTATTAGACGTATATAAATCCTGCATTTCTCTGGCCAGTAGAATAATATTGACACACATGACATGATTATCTGCTGCAGTGCACTGTTTTAGAAATGATATTGATGATCTGCTTTTGAACTTATATTGCACATGTAAGTGAGCTTGGGGTGGAAGATCCTTGAGGACCCCTTGCCTTACTGAGATTTCTTGTTTAGAGATCTCACCCCACGTTTGGGAATGCTTATTTCAGGTTCAGGTAGTATGGGGACTGATGCCTTTGGCGGCAGGAGGCCAGAGCTTAGTTGATGTTTAGTGTTGTTCATATTATGCTGGCATGACTGGATTGGATGCTGTTTATGCTTTCCGCCATTATCTTTATGTTGCTATTGAGTTGAGACTTTCGTTGGGCTTTGTTGCCTTATTTGGGTGAGCATGAGAATTGTCCATGCCACTATATTGTTAGTACTTTTGAGTTGAGTTGTATAAACTGCTAGATGGTCCGGTCTACGTTTTGTAGTTCCGTGACTAGAGACTCATACTTATGTTATTTATTTAATGAGGTAATTCAGTTAGCTGTTTATTGCAATATACATACAGGCGATGTTTTGAAAATGGTTAAGTAATCAAGTTGGTAATGATTAATGACATCATAATTGAAAAGAAAAAGATATTTCACAATTTTAATTAAGCGCAGCTTAATACAATAACATGATAACATTACCGGATATATACGGGGTGTTACATTTATGGTATCAGAGTAATGGTTCGAGGGAAAAGCCTGTATGTATTGCAATAGCTAGGATGTTTGGTTGCGTCTGTCTTGTGTGTTTACTCTGTCGAATTTTATTATGATAATGCATATGTGATCACATTGCGTGGGCCTGGTCAACTCATAATTTGTGTAACTTGTGCAGAGTCATGGTAAGGTCCGGGAGAACACGAGAGACTTCTGAGGATCCACCCGATCCTATCCTGACTGCATTGGCTGAGATGCAGGCGGCTAGGTTAGCCGATCAGGAGGCCACTAGATTGGCCAACGCGGCAATGATGGACGTTGTTCGCGAGGCGAACCGGATAGCCACAAAAGAGGTTCGTGAAGCGAACCGGAGGACCACTGAGGATGTCCTCGAGGCGAACAGGATAGCGAACATGACGAAAAAAATATTTTATTTACGAAAAAAAACAGCATGGGATTATCTCAGCCTTTAGAATTTTTTATTTACGAAAAAAAATATTTTCAAAAGAAGTAACTTTTCAAACTATCCTCTAGTGTGAACAGAAAGATGAGAATGAAGGGGAAAACGACACGTCAGCAAACTTTCCAAAGTTTGGTTCTCTTTTCTATATAGTAAGATTTTAGAGAAAGAAAGAAAGAAACGCGTTTTAGCCTCTTTTAACATTTTTTTAAAAATATCTATTAACTAAAAGCGTTCACTTTTTCTGTAGTTACTGCAGATAAGTTATCTGCAGTAAGCCCAATTCGACGTCGTTTTGGGGCAGAAATTATGGTGTTTTTGTAATTTTAATTTATTTCAGGGTTATTATAGTCTTTATAATTATAATTTTTAATATTTCAATCTCAAAACGACGTCGTTTTGGAAGTAAATGCAGATAACTTATGTGCATTAACTGTAGAAATATTTTTCTGTAACTAAAATCTATCAACACTGTTTGAGGAAAATTGCTTCGTTGGGAAAAAAATTTCGGTCAAATTCTTCAGGAATCCCACAAATTTTTCCCTATTTTCTTTTTATAATGGAATCTATTTATTTTTATGTGACTATATGAGTATAGTAGAATTTTTTTCTGCAACAAAAATAGTGTAACATCCCCGTCTCGAGCCGGTTCAATTAACATACATATGATAAAACAGAAAACAGCGGAAGACTTAACTTACGAAAATACGAGTTAACTTTTTCTTTTTCTACTTTAATTCTTACTCGGGGTAAACGAAAATCGGGCAGAGTTTCCTCTATAAATCGGACAACCGGGGATTTTCCAATCCCTCTCAGAAGCATTTCCTGATAAACAGTTTATACAGCATAGTAATCCAGAAGTACCAGTCATGCAGATACAATCAGATACCCATCCATGGGCGCATGCAAAATATGGCTCCGTGCCACTATCCTAATCAACGTGCAATCCAATACGAAATCATAAGCTGAATAATACATCATCATATAACGTGCCTGAATACCTAAATGTACATGCATCCAAGTGACAGACATGTACAAAACATATACAAGCCATATACAAAATAAAGGATCAATATCGTGATCCATCAAATGCGGAAATACTAAAAGACATCAAACACTCCAAAAGGTAGTAGCCTACAACCACTCAAAATCCGATCTGTCAACTGCCTCAGCC